GCCTGCTTCGGATTCTGTGTCTCCCTCTCTCTCTGCTCCTTTCTTGCTCCCACTCTGTCTCTCTCTCTCTCTCTCAAAAATAAACATTAAAAACAAAACAAAAAAAAAGAATCGCATGCTCTTTCAACTGAGCCAGTCAGGCGCCCCTAGACTTCCTCTAGTTTTAATAATCATTTCCTCTGTCCATGTGCCCAAATGCAAACAAGTTTTTCTTAGCCTGCTATTGGTCCTTAGCAGACATAAGCTGCTCACCTTCCTCTCCTTGATGATGTTGTGTTTTAAAGTAGTTTGGGGCACAGCCAGTCCTATTTCTGTCCACTGTTCGTAAATCTTTAGCCTAGTAAAACATACGAGCTGCTCCTCCTATCTAGAATGTTCTTCCCATAGATCCTTGTTATTCCAATCTGAGCTCAAATAGCAGCTTCTGAGACAGGCTCTTCCAACTGCCCATTCACCTCAGAGGCCACTCGGTCGTTGCTCACACGTGACCCTACGAAAGTTTTCCGCATGGCACTTATCGTTATTTGATGTGTCCTTGTGGTTCGTGTACACGTTTAATCTTTGTCCTCTCCTACTAGAATATTAGCTCTAGGAGAGCAGAGACCTTGTTTGTTCTGTCCTCCAGTTCCTGAAACAGGCCTAGCATAGAGCAGATGCACAAGCAATATTTGTTGGGTGAATAAATGATTGACTAGTGAGTGCTTAATGGTACACAAGGACAAATCATATCGACAGCTTACCTCTCTTGGCTTCGTTTTCCTCTGACTCTGGGTCTGTCTGTTCACTGCTCTGTTGGCTGCTGTGGCTGACGGCTGTCTGAGGGCTCTGGGGCCCAGGGGAGCTATGGCTAGTCCCTTCTTCAGTGTGATCAGCTGCAGAGGTGCCTTCGCCCTCCTTTTTGTCCTCCACCTCATCTTCCTCTGAAGGGGCCAAGAAGTGGAGTTTCAGGCCTGTGAAGTTGGAGAGCAGCAAGAACAGAGCCTCGGAGCGAAATAATTCCATGCAGTCCTTCAGGATGTTGGGAAGCTTGCTCTCCTCCGCTTTCTCATAAAACCTGGAAAGCAGCGATGCCAAGTTGTTCATCGAAGCCACAGACGTAATATCACGCATGGAATAAAAGCCGATCATTAGCTTTGTACCCCGCTGCCTAAACCTTGGCATAGCTCACTGAATCACCAGTTGTTCTAACAGTGAGGTTCTCTCGGGGCCTGCTACCAGATGGCTGTGGGGATGAAACACCACCAGGGCCAATGTCCTATTATCGGAGGTGAGCCTGGCTGACCAACAGGCAGGTGCTAAATGCAAATGTCTTGGTTCTACCTTTTGTTAGGGGGACCTCGGCTGCTCCATTTCACATCTCCTTTCTCCAAAGCCTCACAGACCTCTGCAAATTTCTCAGGCTGGAAAAGGAGCACAGAAAAAAAAAAACAGTCAGGGACTCTCCCTGTAGTCCCACACCTGGTCTTGCAGCTGGAGCAGCTCTGCAGAATCATTCTGGCTGATTCCTAAAAGGGCCAGCCGACACTCACCCCCCCACCCCAGGCCTGATACAGTGAAGCCAGAACAAAGACTGGATAAATCATCAGCATGCCTTAGCCAAGAGATTCGAGTGTTAATCTGGACTATCTCCTTTAGCAGTTGTAGGTCTTATGTCAAATTGCTCAACATCTCAGTCGCCTGCATTTATAAAATGAAGATCACAATACAGACTTCAATCCAGAACATATGAGGGGAAAAAAATTAAGCTGCAAAACAGCCAATGTCATTACAACGAAAATCTCTTGCAGGCCTCACTTTTATTTAATCAGCCTTATAAATATAATAAGCCATGAACAGAGCAAGAAGCTGAATAATCTGTTGAAATATGCTCAAGAGGCTTTCTCTATAGTTGTTTAATGTAGCTTCCCAAGGAATGTTCTCAACACTGCAGTCCTATCGGCTGTAAAACAGGAACAAGGATCACAAAGCCTGATTTAGGTAAACTCAGTAAAATAGGGTCAAACAAGTTTATTTACTATGCTTCTCAAATTCCTTAATATGCTAATGTCAGCTTTAAAATTCTGAGAGAGAGAGAGAGAGAGAAAGAGAGAGAGACAGAACCTTTATCTTTCTCATGGAGGAACAGCTCTTGGGACTGCGCTTCTGGGGGGAGCAGGATCACTGTGAAACACCACACCAGCATCCATGATCTCGTGTGGCCCTCACAGTAACTCTTCAAGACGAGCAAGGCAGGTCCTATTGCAGTTTAATTGATGATGAAATGGAAGCTCAGAGAGATTTAGTGATTTGCTCGGGTTAGTAAAACCATAGAGCCAGGACATGAACATAGAGTCCTTCTGACTTCTGATGTAGTTCCCTTGCCACTGAAATGGGCTACCTCATCCTTGTCAAATGTTCGTTAATAGGGGTTGACCAATTAATAATCTCTCTACTAAAAGCAATGAGCTTATAGTGAACCATATTCACCAAATGAATAGGAAGGAAAATACATACAACTCCCTCTCAGCCTAGAGGCTAGTTGTGTGTGTGTGTGTGTGCACCATTAAGATTTTAGAAAACTGGGGAACACCCAAGGGACTCTTAACCCACTAAGCATACAACTGCTACCTATGTCGGCTGCTAGTACTGCTTCCATATTTTATTTGAAGAAGAGGGTGATAAAAATATTCTAATCGGGAATAAAACAAAAAAACTCCTTTAATGATGCCTATGCACCCACCCAAGAAGAAAGACAAAAGCAGAAGTTGTTATAACAGTGAGATTTTGTTAGGATGTCCCCAAGATATACTGGACAGGATATGCTGGCTTACCTTAAGGAACTCCTTTAGGAGGATTTCAGACCTTTCTTCAAACTCTTCTTGAATTTGAACTTGGTAATCCATGTCCAGATAAGTAGGGTTGATCCAATCATATAAAATTTCATGCTTAAAAGGAGGAGCAGATGCCAAATATGAGTTCACAGTTCTTATTGCTTTTGCACTTATGTCATTTCATAACAGTAAAATATATGCAAATCCTCACTCTATAATTTCCTCCTTGTTACACATAAAAGTGCCAGAAAACTCTGCCTGAGAAAAGATACTATCAAAAGTTTATCCAAGAAGAGCGGAAGAGCAAACGTAAAGTCTAGTTTCATTACCAGGAAAACAAACGACATGCTACAGCTTCTAGAGAAGAGGCCTGACAACCGGCATTTATCCTTACATCTTGTGGGATGTGCGGGCTCCGAGGTACAAGTGGTTCAAAGTAGTTGGGGGGTCTGGTCAGTGAAGGACCATGAAACCAGCCGCTTATAGACAAACGTGACTTTTCTTCAGACAGGACTTCAGACACCTGAAAAGAAAGGCCAGCAGCACATGAATGAACACACCAGATAAGGGGGAAGGTCACCAGCCAGGGTGCACTGACTTCCAGATCCATCACAACGGATGTGGGCACTATCTGGCCACAGGGGTCCATCGGGAAGCTGTCATATTTTGTTAATGGGGAACTAAAAAGTATGATCCTTACATTCTATATATTTGTGGTTTACAACCGTTACCTGGTGAAAGGATATTGGAGACACTTCAAAGAAAACCAGTGTGTTCCATGAAGGGATAAGAGACTTGACAATCTGCTTCGGCTGAAAGTGTTCTGCACCAGGAGAGAAAACAACCACAGATGTGGTTTCGTTATCGTTAACCAATTCCAGTCCGCCTTGTTTCACTCCGACAATTCTCAGATTTCTAGGGGGAACTAGACGTACCCTGCAGATCCCAAACCACCACCCCCTTCCATCTGTCTCCCTCATACTTGCTGGTTCTGCTGGGTGATATCTGTTCTCACTACGCCATCCCTCTATTATTGATGAGAGCTGGAATAAATTCGGAAAGTTTTCCAGAGTCAACATTTGGTGTCGGTCCTTAGAAAACAGCCCTGGCTTCCTGTCAGATGGATTCACCCTAGCAGACCGACGGTGCCAGGCGAATGTATACGCACTCTACCTTTCCGCGGTCAGTATTCAGAAGTAGGGTCTGCCGAGTCCTGTTAACGGACTCTATCGCTGGAGTAATGACGACTTGAAGCACAACTCAGAGGCAGCTGTCAGGGCCGACATCCCTTCCCCTGCGGTTGTCACCCCACTGAATGGCTTCCGCCTCCTTAGATGAGTACACATGTTGTATGTAAGAACTCAGAAGTGGCTAGTGCCAAGGAGCATGCACTTGTCTTACCATCAACATTGTACAGGTCCAGGGTGCCCCCCAAACTCCTGTCCCAGGGAGGAACCAGGTAAAGAATGAAGGCGATCCGGCGCCCTTCCAGCTCGTCGTCGTGGCAGAGGAGGGCATCTGCAATAGTGCAACACACACTTTAACGTCCCACACCGCAAGGAGCAGCTCCAGGAGCAGCTGGAGCTGATTGGATCCAGCATTTAATATCAGTCCATTTGATACTCATCTGTAATGTGAACTCCTCCAGCTGTAAAATGACACTTATTCTCCTGGTTTATAATTGGAGACATAAAACGGGCAACATGGGGGACTCCAAAAGCACTGAAGGGCACATATATGGACAGACCCCAGAGAGAATCACTAACAGTATTTTTGCATATATTCTTCCAGTATTTTTCCTACATACATTTGCTTTTAAAAAAACAGTATCCTACAGTGGTTATTTTGTGGCCTTTTTATTACATCGTAAGTGTCCACATCAGTATACACACCTGTCATGCTTTTTAATGGCCACGTAGTATACCATACGGGTTATGAATTATCTTCCTTCCCCTTTAATCTTCCACTTGTTAATTAAGTTGTCTCCATTTGCCTTAATGAACATCACTGTACATAGACCTTTTGGTACTGATTCCCATTTATTTCTTGAGCTAAAACTAAGGGCCATTTGGTGGAACTGAGCAAGGCAGGCATCTGTGTAGGGCAGGGGAGGGAAGGCATGCTATGGTGAACTGAGACTGTTCACACATGGAGGGATCATGATCGATTGATAAAGAAATCTATTGAAGATAATGGAAGCCATGGTTCTTACTGCTGAGGTAGGAAATTACAAATACGGAAATGGCAAAATCTGGGATAAACCTAAAGTGTTGAATTGCAACTGCAGGAATCAACGTGAATTGAGCTTCTTATATGTGTAGATGTTTATATAGATATTTAGATATCTACATATTTCTAGATGTTGAAACACACAAAAGTGTAAATGCACGTGTGTGCACATGTGTGTGTATATGTGCATATGTGTTTGCTGCCTCTTTCCCATTGAAAGGCCTGGGAGCGGTGACACCCTAACAGCAAAAACACCTACAGTCCAGATCTTGATTTAAACAAAAAAATTTTTTTTAATGTTTATTTATTTTTGAGAGAGACAGAGACAGAATGTGAGTGGGTTAGGGGAAGAGAGAGAGGGAGACACAGAATCTGAAGCAGGCTCCAGGCTCTGAGCTGTCAGCACAGAGCCCAATGTGGGGTTCGAACTCACAAGCTGTGAGATCACGACCTGAGCCAAAGTAGGACGCTCAACTGACTGAGCCACCCAAGCACCCCTTGATTTTTTTCTTTTTTAACGTTCATTTATTTTTGAGAGAGAGAGAGGTAGAGAGAGAGGGAGACAGAGGATCTGAAGTGGGCTCTGCACTGACAGTAGTAGATATGGAGCTCCAACTCGCGAACTGTGAGATCATGACCTGAGCTGAAGTCAGATACTTAACCGACTGAGCCACACAGATCTTGATTTTTAAGCATCATTCTTCACTAAAAGGAACTAGGGTTCTTTGGAAGAATGGCCAACTCTGGATCCAGAGCAGGGGAAATGTAAGATAAGCCTGGAAAATCTTGTTTTGCTAGAAAGTAAGATATATTAAGAATGATGGGGACACATCAAAAGGACCTGAAGTCAGTTTAAAGGGGCTCCCCTTGATCAAATCAGGGACAATATGAGCATCAGTATAATGACAGCAACTGCTTATAGCCCATTACATAAGCAGTAATCCATAAATCCACACCGACATAAATACATGAATAAATAAATGGGAAAAGGGGAATGTTTCCTTTACAGTAGAATAACTAATAAATGTAAAAGAAATGATTTTTTATTGAAAAATATCCCCGTTTGGCAACTTGCATAGTAATAACCTAGCAAGAAATATCAGAGGATGCTGGGGCACCTGGGTGGCTCAGTCGGTTAAGCGTCCAACTTTGGCTCAGGTCATGATCTTGTGGTTTGTGGGTTTGAGCCCCGTGTTGGGATCCATGCTGACAGCTCAGAGCCTGGAGCCTGCTTCAGATTCCGTGTCTCCCTCTCTCTGCCCCTTCCCCACTTGTGCTCTGTCTCTCTCTCAAAAATAAACAAACATTAAAAAATTTTTTTTAATTAAAAAAAAAAAAACAAATGAAAAACCTGACATTAGCCACCACCTTAATTAAGTAATCAGAGTTAGTATCACTAGACTATGACACACAGAAACCACATACCACTTGAGAAGATGCAGTAAAAAAAAAAACAAAAAACAAACAAAAAACCCCCACGTAATTAATTTTGTAATATTCCTATCAAAAACACATGGCTTGAATCTAATCATGAGGAAGCATCAGACAAACTCAAACTGAGGGAAGTTTTACAAAATGACTCCTCTGTAAACCTTCAGAAGCATTAAGACAATGAAAGTCAAGGAAAGACTGAGGGAGTTCAAACAGGCATGACAACTACATGCACGGCACATTGCAATCCTGGACGGGATCCTTTGAACATGTATTTTATTTATTTTTTTGTTTATTTATTTTTTTTTTTATTTTAAATTTTTTCAGCGTTATTTATTTTACAGGACAGAGACAGGCATTAGCGAGGAGGGCAGAGAGAGAGAGGGAACACAGAATCGGGAAGCAGGCTCCAGGCTCTGAGCCACCTCAGCCAAGCCTGACGCGGGGAGGGGCTTGAACTCACGGACCGCGAGATCGTGACCTGGCTGAAGTCGGACGCTCATCCGACTGCGCCACCCAGGCGCCCCTGTTTATTTATTTTTGAGAGGGAGCGAGCATGGGAGGTGCAGAGACAGGGGGACAGAGGATCTGAAGCAGGCTCCGGGTGACAGCAGAGAGCCTGATGCGGGGCTTGAACTCACGAACTGTGAGCTCATGACCTGAGCTGAAGTCGGCCACTTCAAGCGACTGAGCCACCCAGGCGCCCCTAGATCCTTTTGCAATCAAGGACCAAATAATAGAACTTGAATGGAGCCTGAGGATTAGATGGGAATCATGTATTAATCTCAACTTCCTGGTTTTGATGGTTTATCATTATCATACAGGAGAATGTCCTTGTTGTAGGAATCAGTTGGGGGTCATGGGGCAGGACGGCAACCAAGTCCAACAGGAAATACATTATTTGTACTATGCTTGCCACTTTTCTAGAAGTTTGAAGTTATTTCAATTGAAAAGAAAAAGTTTTTTTTTTTTTAAAAAGGGCGTATGATAGGACTCTTCCTGTGTACCACTCAGTTACCCTCAAAAAGTTGCTACCAATTTATACTTCCCCCAATTATACTTTATATTGTGTGAGAGTAAACCCAAATCAAAACTGGACTCAGGAACACAAAACAAAATACTTTTTCTTGTAGACAAAAAAACCAAACATGTTTTCAAAAAGACATTTACATGCTCCCAAAGGGAACTGGTGATAATGGATCCCTCTGAAGAGATGGGGGACAAAAAGAAAGGGAAGGGGATTGTCAAGGTTTACACTGTATCCTTCTATATTGAGGTTTTTTCCCTTAAGAATGTGGTTCTACGAGTAGAGTTTACAACATCACCTCTGAGTTTCCTGATACTGTACACAAAGCGGGTGTGCATGTGCAATGTCAGCATTTTCTGGGAAATATGGTCAACAGTTTTCATATTTCCACCAAAGACAACCCCTGCCTTATTATACCTTCCAGGAAGGTGGGCGTTTCGGTATATGAGCCGGTCAAGTGTTCCTTACTGAGCAGATTCTAATGCTACGCGGGGACACGCAGCCCAGGATTCTGGCACACTGGTGCTATCTTCTTGCCACTGTTAGTTAAAGCCTTTAAGACTTCCAGATGTCAAGGGCTTTATCTTGCTTACCAGAGAATTCATATTTAGCACAGGACATGTCAATAGTTGATTCCAGGTCAATCTTGGAAATGTCAGCAAGCCAAGTCCGGAAATCTTCAAACAGAACTTTCCTAGAAATGTAAACAAAGATCACTTGTTAGGCTGTAGTGAGGCCTCCATTTGGATCTAGGCCACAACTACTTTTTTCTGGAGGCTGCGGTTTATTCTTTACTTTAAACTTGCACAGTTTAGGACTTGGAACTGAAATAAAGAGAAATAAATACTAATCTATCTACTGTAATCTTTTTTTCTCTGTTTCATTTTACTTTCTTCCTCTTAAATTTATGGCATGCCCTATCATGGCAGTGATTTGGCCTCTGTCATAATTTATTGCACTGATGTTCCATTCCGAGGTTACTGATTTTTAGATATGTTCTTCAGCACTAAAACTGGCTCCACTGTTTAATGACCACTTGGGTGACACTGTTGTAGATTAAAAACTTTAAGTTGCAGTAACGGTCTATATTATGCTAACTATGTGGCACTCAGGAAAATCTTTCATAGAAGTTCTTTTTTTTTAATTTATTTTTTAATGTTTACTTTTGAGAGACAGAGAGAGAAAAAGAGAGAATGGGAGAGGGGCAGAGATACAGAGACACAGAATCTGAAGCAGGCTCTAGGCTCTGAGTTGTCAGCAGAGCCTGACACAGGGCTCGAACTCCCGAGCTGTGAGATCATGACCTGAGCCAAAGTCAGGTGCTTAACCAACCAAGCCACCCAGGTGTCCCTTTCAAAGAGGTTCTGATGCTAGCAGGATACCACTAAAAGATGCCGACCATTTCCATTTACCACCTAATGTGGTTCTTTGTACAGAAATCTCTTTAATACAATTTATAACTCATTCAGCTGATCAACTTTGAAATTCTGTTAATCTCGATGAATTTATATCATTTTGAAAGGATTTACATTAGTTCACATTTTGCACACACAGACAAAATTTTGGGGATCCTCTAAGTCCAGATGTACACAATTGAAATTCCCACCAAATGCAATTGTGCTATTCATAAATATCAAGTCTTCCGGCGGATCTGAGATTTTAATACTGAGTACCTCTTCTGCACTATACATTACCAAACCAAAAAATTTCTGTAAACTACTGTGCTACATTAGTTCACCCAGAAGTGCCACATAACTTTAAAAACAGTTGCAAATTACATGGAATGAGCCAGCAGAGCAAAGTGCTGAACCAGGCTTGAGATGTGGGTGGCAAACATTTCTGCAAAGTCTTGATGCTTTAAACAACTATTACCAAAGCCTTAAATCCTTCTTTTACTGGTAACATTGGCTTTCTCAAGTTTATTCCATAAAAAGCCCTTCCTCTAGTCACTCTGTGAGGGTGTCACGAGGACAGGGTTATTTTCTGTCATTATTCTCACTTGTTAATTGTATTTAAGAGAGAAATTGCAGAATCCAACCGGGAAAGATAAAGGTCACCTTTCTATAAAGACCAAGGACTGCTGTCTCTCACACACCATCCAGCTGTTACCCTGTGTGTATAGAATGGAACCTCGGTCCCATAGGAAATGCTTACCAGAGGCGTGCTGTGAGCTAATGAGATAATAATGCCTTAAAGCGCGATCACCTCTCTTTGGAAAAACGAAAGGTCTAAATAAATATGAAATGTTATGAGTTACAATTAATACATAAGCAATAGTTCAGGATTTGGAAGAAATAACAATCTGTGCAGACTGCCAACATATATAGAAATTCTGTATAGATGAAAACGTTATTACAAAGTAACACGTGCTAAGGGGCGCTTGTTAAGTGTCCTTGACTCTTGATTTTGGCTCAGGTCATAAACTCATGGTTCGAGCTCCATGTTGGGCTCTCCCCCCACCTCACTGCTGACAGCATGGAGCCTACCTGGGATTCTCTTTCCCTCTCTCTCTGCCCCTCCCCAACTCGTGTGCACATGTACTCTCTCTCAAATAAACTTAAAAAAACAAAACAAACCCCCACCCCCCAAAGTAACATGTGTTTATTGTAGCAAAACTTGGGGAAAAAAACACTCCAGAAGTAAAAAAAAAAAAACTGTTAAAAAAAATCTGAAATCCTACTAGCCAGATTTAAGCGTCCCATTCTTCTGCCGTTCCGTTGGTATACACACAGCCAAATATATATCTTTCTTAAAATCATTCACACTGTATTGTTTTAACATCTTTTCTTTTGACAAGTGTATTTCATTGACTCTAATATGCCTTTGTCTGTAAGAAGTAGTATGATTTTACATTTCACTTAAAAAAATGTTGCCAATTAAACTAGGACACCATTGTAATTTGTGAGACACTGGATCTCAGCAGTGCTAAAATGGGAAAAAAGAAAATGTATCTTAGAATTGGTGAAATAGGGTTTAACTTTATCATACTCGCATGTTAAAATTCACATATGTCATAGCCGACAGCTGTAGAGTTTTCCACTTTACATTTGTGCCATTAACTATGTAAATCTCAGTGCGTGGCCATTTAATTTGTATATAGTTTTTCATTATTTTAAACAACATTACAACACATAATCTTCTATGGAATTTTTGAGCTCATCCTTAATTATTTTCTTGGGATAAGTTCTCACAAGTGGACTTACACTACAAAATAATAAGCATACTTTTTAGGGTTTTGATACATCTTTCAAAACCATCATCTAAGAAAGTCGGCAGCAGTGCATAAAGGGGTCTCAATGACTGTCAACACTGGGGTTTTGAATATTTGCCAACTTAATAGGTGAAAAATGCTTCCTGCATTGTTTCCTTGATTACTAACAAGGTTGAACATTTTATCATTGAGAAACTGGGCCCTGGAATCAGACTGATTTGAGCTAGTATCTGAGCTCCCTCAGTTTTCATCTAGGAAGCCTTGAAGAACTTACTTCATCTCTCAGTCTGTTTCCTCTTCTACAAAAGTGTTATTATATAATACTTCCCACACCTGACAAATAGCACCAGTTGTTTACCTTAAAGCACAGATGTGAGGCTCTCTTCTTTTCTTCAAATCATCAGACTTGATCATAAAAAAGAGGGAAAAAAAAAGATTTCCTTCATATATAAGACACACAGAGGAAAGCAGTTCAGTGAGTGCCCTGGTGGCATAGCATTGTGGGTAACAGCCCAGCCCTGAAGCCAGACTGCCTGGGTTTGACGTACGGTCTCTCCACGTGGCGGCTCTGCGACTCAGGCGACTTCCTTAACCCCCCTGTGACTTATTCAACAAATACTTAAACACTTGTGACAGTGGAGCTTATGTTATTTTTGAGGGAGACAGACAATAAACATACAAAGACAGTGGTCAGTATGAAGGAAGGGGACAAATGCGCGGGGAAAACCAGCAGGGTATGAGGGAGTAGGCATGCTCAAGATGGGGAAGGGCTTCCAAGTACAAACACGGTGGCCAGGCTAGACCTCGCTGAGGGATGCACAGCCTTGAAGGAGGTTGGGAAACAGTCCCAGGGAATACCTAGGCACAGAGGATTCAAGGTCCTGAGTGTGAAGCATTTCCTAGTCAAGAAATCCAAGGAGACTATGTGGCTGGAGCAGAAAGAGTACGGGGGGAGAGTGGTAGGAGATGAGGCCAAGGAGGTAAGGGGTCACCTTAGAGCTGTTCTAAGCACTTTGGCTTTCTGACAAAGAAATGAGGAACCATGGGAATTTTTGAGCAAGGGAGTATTGGGATCCCACTTAAATTGCTAAAAATTGGGATAAAATTCATGTAACTTAAAATTTACCATCTTAACCACCCGGAAGTGTGTAATACGGTGGATTTTAGTTTATTCACCATGTTGTGCAACCACCACTGTTGGTTCCAGAACATTTATTATCACCTCAAAAAGAAACCCCATACCCATCAGGTGGTCACTGCACATACCCTTCTCCCCCAAGTTCCTGGCCACTGCTAATCTACATTCTGCCTCTCTACATGGATTTGCCTGTTCCGGACATTCCATATGGACAGAATCCTACAGTCTGTGGCCTTGCGTGGCTGGCTTCTCTCAGCACATTTCCAAGTCTCCTCCTCTCCTCCATGTTACAGCAGCATTACTACGTCATACCTTTTTCTGGCTGAATAATATTCCATTGTGTGGACAGACCACACTCATTTGTCCATTTGTCAGGTGATGGACATTTGGGTTGATTCCACTTTTTGGATATTAGAATAATGCTGCTATGATCATTTGTGTACTAGTTTTATGTGAACGTGTCTTCAATTCTTTTGGGTCCACTGTTGTTTTAAAATAACACAACGGCTATGACTGTGGAGCTGGGCAAGGGTAAAAGCAGGGAGACTGGTTAATAGACTGATAGAATAATCCTGATGAGAGACAAAGATGGCTTGGGCCAGGTGTTGGCTGTTGGCACTGGAATGGAAAGAAGTGGGTTTTCCTGGATAGGTTTTGAAGATAGAGCCTGCAGAATTTCCTGACAAACTGGGTATGAGGGGAGAGAGGACCTTAAGGTTTTTAAGCCTGGTCCCTTGGAAAGATCGAGTTGCCATTAACTGGGATGGGTAAAATTGCAGGTGGAACAGATTTAGGGGGAGAAGATCAGGCATTTAGTTTTGGACTTAGGTGTGAGACACTGAACAGATATCCAAGAGTAGAGGCAAAGCGAGGGTCTCCCTGGAAATGGCCCAAGGGCAAAGCCCTAAAGTACTCCATCATTGAGAAGTCAGGTACAAAAGGAAAGCCTACCAAAAGAAACCAAGGACTTGCCAGGGTGGTAGCAGGAAGCCCCAAGGCATCCGGACAGTAAAGTGAAAATGTCTCCAGGAGAAAGGAGTAACATAGTAGCTCCAGTGCTGCTGGGAGGTGGAGTAAAATGAGGCCTCAAAACTGATGACTGACTGGATTTACTAACGTAGAAGAAGTCGAGAGTGAGCTTGACAAGTGCAGCTGCAGTGGAGTTGTAGGTGAAAGGCTGAAGAAAAGTGGGCTTAACAGAGAATGGGAGAAGACATATTTAAGAAAAGTACAGACACCTTATAAGGAACTCTACTGTCAAGAGGAGCAGAGAGGGGCGCCTGTGTGGCTCACTCGTCCAACTCTTGATTTAGGCTCAGGTCATGATCCCAGGGTCATGGGATCGAGCCCCATGCTGGCCTCTGCACTGAGCATGGAGCCTGTTTGAGATTCTCTCTAAAAAATTAAAAAAAAAAAAAAAAAGGAGCAGAGGAATAGGGTGGTGGTTGAAGGGCAAAGTCAGGTCAAGAGCACTTTTTTCTTAACATCTTTCTTTTATATGTCAAAGGGAACGATCTGGAATAGAAGGAAAAACTGATGTAGTCCCCTCATCTGTAAGAGAGGAATAGTTAATGTACCTCCTTCATAGGACTGAGGATTTAATGAATTAATAAAGTACTTAGCATGGCATAAAGCATGCACTCAATAATGTTTGTTCTGAAATATACAGAATATCAGGCCACTCTTAATGACATACTGTTAGGAAGGCTGGAAGGTATCATAGACTCAATTAAGGCAATTCATAGCACAAGCAAAGGGGATACAAACAAAGTCTGAAGGGACAGAAGACTGAAAGCAGGTTTTATATTTACTGTCTTAGGATGAAGAAGTTCAGTCCCAAAGTGAGCATAGTAAATATTATTCACGGCCCAGTAGAGTTCCATCAAACACCCATGTGATCTAAAGTTATCTTTTATTCCCCTCCTCATTACCCAGGGCCCTTTTTATTATTTTCCCACTCACTGACTTTACAGTTAGAAGTATTTTCATCCACCAAACTGCATTAAGTAAAAACCAGCTTTATTTCTCAACTTTAGTAATCAGAGATGCATATGGCCCTAAATCTAACAGAGATTTATTGTTACTGAAGTTGATAATAATTACCAAGGCAGATCATTGTGGTTTTAATTAACCTATGTAACTTTACTAAGGATAAAAGCTTAATATTAACTGGATTTCCTGAATTATTAAGAGTTATATTGTGTATTTTATCATGTGGTTAATTCAATCATATGTGTAAGGCCCAAAGATAGACATACTGGGGGACACAATCAGCTCTAGTGCAAAAGAATAAAAGAGAGAGAAATCCTGTTATTTACTTTCTTATCCCAGATAAAGAGGAATCAAAGGGTAAATGCAAAGAAAACAAAATAGGTCTTCATCTTTTTCATTTTATCCTGTGATTCTTGAGGGTTGATGTCCATGAAGTTTTATAAAGGATTTCTAAGAGTGATGTACACCATGTACTAAAAAGATATTCCCCCCAAAACTGGGGAAACCAATGATCTAGATTTCCATACCTAGACTAGGCCCTGTCTTCTAAGAGTAGAAAATCCAGCCATGATTTTGACATGGTCTTTCCTGCCAAATTAAACCGTCCACCAAAAAAGGAATAGACCTAACTCTCCTTGGACATTCTGCAGTGAGCAACATGCTGCAATACATCATGCCACCTAAAATACAGACATGAACTCAAAAATTTAAATGGTTATTATTTTCCAACATACAGTTCTCTTTAGCATATCAATCCCCAAAATGTACCTGATCCCCTTTGTTTATAATGTACTTAACTTACTGGCTTACTGTATTTCTTGACTATCTGTTGCCATCGTTATCACTTCTACTATTTTAGATTTTGAAGTCTTACAGAGCAGAGACTGTCAGAGAGTCCCACGCAATAATTATAGCACCTAATACATTGTTAACACTCAGTAAGCTTATGTGAAATCAATGAATGTTTCTTACAATGTCAAGGCAAGGACCCTCCAAGGCAAACCCAATCTAAAACTTCAAGTCCAAAGGTAATGAATGGCTTTGTGGTCAATTAATTTCTGAAGTGGAAGAGTGAAAGGGACATAAATACCTGCTGGAACTTATATAAATCGTTATACTTTTCATGGAAGTCCAAGTTCAAAAGTTCCTTCTGAAGCCCTTCCAAAAAGTTTTGGCTTTGGATGAAGTCTGGGATCACGCAGTGAAGAAAGGGTTCCATGTCCATGACAATGGCCTCTGTTGGAAGGAAAACATTACTTGTGGCTTTTTCTCCTTTTATATTTTTGACCCCCAAGTGGTATAGCGAGAGATTACAAAAGGGAATGGTTGTGAATTCTCAGAAATCAAGTAAGTAAAGTCTAAGATTTGGAGGAAGAATTATAAGCTCTCTCTTTTTTCTTTATGTATTCAATGCTACTTTTAAAAAATATTGTTCTTAAAATACTAATTCTTAAAAGGAGTACAGGTGATATCACTAAATTAAGGTTTGTACTCCTTTTTGAGTTTTAAAAAAATGTTTACTTATTTTTGAGAGAGAGTGAGCAGTGGAGAGGCAGAAAGAGAGGGGGACAGAGAATCCAAAGAGGGCTCTGTGCTTACAGCAGCAACCCCAAAGCGGGGCTCAAACTCATAAACTGCGAGATCATGACCTGAGCCGACATCTGACGCTTAACCCACTGAGCCACCCAGGCTACCCGCTTTTTTGTTTTCGTTTCTGTTTTAGTTCAAAGATTAGCTATTGAACTGAATATATTTGATTCTTTACTGATTTCCCCCACACTTAAAATGAGAGTAGCAAATTAAAAAAAAAACAACGAGAATAGCAGCTCAGCTCCACAGTTGGTGGGATCCCACCCCAAGTCCAGCTCTGCGCTGGACAGTGCTGAGCCTGCTTGGGACTCTCTGACTCTCTCTCTCTCTCTCTCTCTGCCCCTCTCCTACTTGTGCTTGCTCTCTCAAAATATATACATTTTTAAAAAGTGACAATAACAATTGCGGCTGGTGATTTTTCACTGACCCTACTTTTTCTTTCCCCAAGTTACTGTTGGAGGAAGCTACAACATTCTTTTTTTTTTTTTTTTTAAATCAGTTCAAGCATAACTTTCCGATGCCTTGATTTCTAGCTCAACATTTTACCCACTGCTTCTAATAATAGTCACCACCACCACGACCGACCACGTGCCAAACACAGTGGTGCTGTAGACGCACGACTTCACTTCATCTCTTCAGCAAGCTGTGGTAGACACTATCCCTATTTCCATCCTACAGCCTAGGATGTTGACAAGTCCCTGCGTGTATAGAGCTATCACTTTCTATGTGCATCCAGACACCCAGGACTCACCTCTTTAAAGTACTTAACAACTGAAAGCAAAATCATGGCAATCTCTAGAAGGGAAAGCATGATGCATTAAGCAGAATTCTTATCCCCTAAGGTGGTATCTGAGGCTGAGGCTGGAATCGTTCAAGGTGGGTTCCTCCCCTTGCTCAACACTTGTTTGCTTTCATAAGTCACGCAGTCGACCTATAGGCGTGTGAAAACGATTAAGCGCAGGTGCCAACTATCTGGCAGCTCACAACAAATGCTCTGGCTACGCTATTTTGGGATAAGCGATCACTGCCCTCGGAGGAACTACGAACTTGCATGCCCTCTGCTTCCCAAAACTCTCGGGCCTACGTTTCTTCCTCTTCTCAGATTTCTAAATCCGAACCGAACTTGGGATGATAGAGGATAGCAGGAGAGTCAGAGGTGGCCAAAGTCATACTGTCTCCAAGAGACTCTTCCCTTGTGGCCCCGCTGCCCAGGGCTCGGCTCGAGTGGCAGGACTTTCAGAGGCCCCCAGACCCCGCGCGGCAGCTCCCCCTTCACAGCACTCGGTTACCGTGACGGAACGGCGTCCTGCGGCTCCAGGCCTCAGACACCTGCTTTTTCAAGGTATCTTCCGTGACAGCATCCGAAAACTCCGCTATCACCTCCTTCTTTCCCTTTTTCCCCGCACGGCCGGGGCCCGGCTCAGCTGGCCGTTTCCCATTCATCTTCTCTTAAGCTACAGACCCACGCCACACTGATTAAGCAGCTATACTTTCCTGGGCGGACTGCAATTCCCAGAATGCCCCCTAGCCCGTGTTTCCCAGCACCGCCCAATAGGAAGTGCGAAAGTAAGAGGAGGAGGAGCCCATTCCTGATTTACCAATGGAAACTCCAGATATTGCAGTCATCTCATCAGCGATTGGCCCAGTGGTGCTGGGCTAGGCCAGCCACCGCCTCTCCACTTCCTGCCGCCAGGCGCTCCGGATGCACTTCCGGCGTGCCTTTACCTCCTCTTGCCCTCTCATGTTAATGGCGGGTGGCGTCTGCTGAGGAGAACGTGAATAACCGCTCCCGGCACAGGGAAAGTCTCCCTGCCTGCCCCATTTCCTCTCGCCGCCAGTATTCTAGCTAGTCAGCATGTCCGTGGTGCCGCCCAATCGCTCACAAACCGGCTGGCCCCGAGGGGTCAACCAGTTCGGCAACAAGTACATCCAGCAGACGAAGCCCCTCACCCTGGAGCGAACCATCAATCTGTAAGTGCGGCCTGGCCTTAGCGCGCTGCCTTCGCGGGCACTCCCTTCCTCTTTAGCGCTCCTAAAGACTCCAGGTCTTCTGGCGCGTCCCTGGCCCTCGGCGGGCTCCACGCCTCCCCACCATCTCCAGTCCCGCTCGCGGACGCGCGCTTTTGAAGATCCCTCGGGGCCCTTTCCTGGTCCTCGGGCGCCATGGGGTTAGAGTCCTACTTGGGAGGAGGGTTTTCCTTTTCTGGAGAGAAGGCTTGCTCCCCTGCCCCTCCATTCAGTCATTCTAGGAAAATCCCAAGTTTGTTTTGAACTCACCCCCTCCCCACGTCTCCAGAGGTAACCTACTGGAAAAGGTGTGTTTATTTTTCCCGTCCAATGTTTCTGTTTTCCCATCACGTTTGTGGTATTGTTTTTGTGTTTTTTTATCTGGTATGAATGGTGTAATGTATCGTTTTTGCAGTTTTCACTTTTCTGTAGCGGTAAGCTTTCGAGATCTCGGTATGAAGCTTAGGTTTAGGTTTTTTCTCTTAACTGCTTAATTGCATTTGGGCTCTTGAATGCAGCACATTTTATTCCTGTGTTCAGAACTAGCTGGCTTACCCTATGCATTCACCTGCGGCATTGACTGCCGCAGCGACCAGAGTCAACCACCGCGTAGGCCCCCAGCTTAGGGTGGATTCTGTTAGGGTTGGGCTTTCATTCAGACCGTGGAGGGGACCAGCCTGCAGCCCCAGAGAATCCACTGTGGCCTGCGTTTTTATTTTCAACACTTTTCTGTTTAAGCCCTTCAAGCCCTTGCGTGTCGATGTCACTCACAAAAGTCATCTTGCAGTGGCGGGTAATTGGCGTTTGGGCTCTGTCTTGATCAAGAAATTGTCAGAATATCCTTTTTCTTTTCTTTCTTTCTTTCTTTTTTTTTTTTTTTTTTTTTTTTTTTTTTTTTTGCTTTAAATAATATCTTAGAGTTTGTGACCCACCGTGGTGCTGACCCTAATGGAGGAAAGTAGCCAGTTTATACTGGTCAGTATTTATAAGGTACAAGAATTTACTGATACTGGGGTTTCCATGAGAAACTTTAAGTGTTTCTCTATTTTACATTCAAATAAATGGACTTGTTCCCTTCAACAGCGATTTGAAATGGAAAAGATGGTGGTTGTTATTGCTTTATTTGGCAAAACAGGTGCTGGCTTGGAAAGTTAGATAATAAAAATGTTAGGTTTATTAAATCTGTAGGTAGATAGTGGTGTATGTACAAGCTAATATCTCTAGCCAGTACATTAGCATAATAGCAGTTTAATTTCAGATCTCTTCTTCAAAACATCTTCATAAGATTTCCATGAAGTGGAAAAGGTAATTTTTTTTTCTTTTCATGTGAAAGCACAGCTTCCGGATTACTTTGGTAATTAGAGCTAGGGCGCACGGTTTTCTCTTGAGTTAACTTTATTTAATTTGCATCAAATGACTACGTAGAATTAACTTGGTGAAATGTTTTTATTTTTGCCCCATTAAAGTTATGGGTTGATGGGGATGCCTGGGTGGCTCATTCAGTTTAAGTGTCCAACTTTGTGGCCAAAGTCATGGTCTCAGGGCTCTTGAGTTCAAGCCCTCTGTCAGACTCTGTGCCGACAGCTCAGAACCTGGAACTTGCTTCAGTTTTCTGTGTCTTCCTCTTTCTTTGATCCTCCTCTGCTTGTGCTCTCTCTCTCTCTCTCTCTCTCTTAAACATAAATAAACAAAAAATTTTTAAAAAGTTGTGGGTTGATGAATTTACAGAACGTTTCCTCTCCTGTATAAATACAGTATTCAGAAAAAAAATCACTGATGTGAACTCATTTCACCAGGGTGCATTATAATCTAACTTGAAAACAAGTCCTCTTCCCCACAATATACTTTATTTTAGGAAACATTGCATAAATGCCTACTTTGTATCAGGCACTGGGCATAATGCTTGGTGTACAATGGAGAAGTCCCTGCTTTGCTAACTGAAGAGATGATGGAAAGTAGTGGCTCATCTTGTAGAAAAATAAGTATTAGTCTTTAACACCTATAGTTAATAGAATTTCTGATTAGATTGGTAGAGGAGCCCTAGGGAGCATTAGCTAGGTTGTCGATATTAGTATGGCAGCTGTGATAAAAAACCAGGGGAGTACCAGACATCCAGGTGGCCACTTCTCTAAGCATTTGAGGGCCTTAAGGATGGTGTTGTGTATAGTTGAAAGTTCAAGTGTGGGTAGCAGCTTGATCTAATGGAAGCTCTGACTTTATAGTCCAGAGAGCTGGATTCTAATCTTTGCTGTCACATTAACTAGCTATGTAACTTTGGACAAATCCTGTGTCTCTGAGTACAACATATACACTTTTATACCATAGTTTCTTTATCCGTGGTTGGAATCTGTCATGGTAAATTATTGTCTTCAGTTCTCAGGTGAGATGTTTGTCTTTGGATCACAGGTACCCTCTTACCAATTATACTTTTGGTACAAAAGAGCCCCTCTATGAGAAGGACAGCTCTGTTGCAGCCAGATTTCAGCGCATGAGGGAGGAATTTGATAAAATTGGAATGAGAAGGACCGTAGAAGGGGTTCTGATTGTCCATGAACACCGGCTACCACATGTGTTACTGCTGCAGCTGGGCACAACTTTCTTCAAATTGTAAGTGTCACTGGAAATTAACAGCAAGACAACTTTTAGGATTGCTGTTTTATGCAGCTTTGGAATACAGTTTTAGACCTTATTTATTTCCGCAAACACTACTGTTAATGGAGTCTTCAGAAAGAGGAATTCATAAAGTCATTTTCCTCCAGGGTAGTGCTCATTTATTGCCTAATTAGAAATCTGCATGTGTCTGTATATTGCTAATAATTGAGCCTGATAGAAGCCCTGTACAGCAAATAAGTCCAAATTCAATTTCTAGGTATCATTGTAGCATTACTAAGAACAATTGATATTATTTCTTTCTTAGGATGAATAGTGTTTATTTTTCTTAAAATGACTTACATATTTATAGATAACTATTTAGTTTTATCATTTAAACTTATAAATCTCTCAGTATTATACATTTAGTCCACAACTATTTGACCAGATTATACCAAAAAGGTCAAATCCTTAGATAGGAATTCTTGAAAAATGTCCCATTTTTCAGACCTAAAGAATGTGGTCCACTGCCTCTCTGGGCGTTTCTATAATCCGTTTTCACCAGATAGCTTCCAGAGAGAAGAGATTGGGATGGACTCATGGCCAGCAGTTATATTTGTTATGTTACACGTTTTGTTTGTTTAAAACTAGGGTTTGTGTACTGTTAGTCTGGTGACTTAATACAATGAATTCAACTTTCTAGCACATTCTTTCCCCTCCCTTTACATTTGTTTGCTTTGATTGCCTTAGGCAACATTGAAATATGTGTTATTCAGTTACATGATAGAAATTAAGCATTATTTTTTTTCTTCCTGTTACCCTAAAATTGTATTAAGTTGAAAGCTGAAATTCTTAACTTTTATACAGACCTGGTGGTGAACTTAACCCTGGAGAAGATGAAGTCGAAGGACTAAAACGCTTAATGACAGAGGTATTTTTCCATTTAACCACTTTTGCAGTTTGATTCTTGCCCTGAATACCACCAACTTAATGGATAATTAGGCTTTTTATCTCTTGTGGAAAGGATAAGTTTATTTTGAATAGTTTTCAATAAATAAAACATGAACAACAGTGTTACTACAATGTTTAATTTCTGCAAGTTGATCTTGTGCTTTATCTTAACTTTTTTTGTTGTTGTAATGTTGTTCTAACAATAATGGTTAATAAAAGCCAACATTTATTGAGTACTTACTGTGCTAGGCACTGTTCTGAGTGCTTTACATGCAATAACTCCTTCAACCATCACAACAGCCCTTGGAGGAAGTACTATTATTAATCCCATTTTACCCATTGGGATACTGGGCCCAGAGGTTCAAGTAACTTGCTTGATGTTTACAGCTAGTATGTCATGTGGCTGGAGATTTGAATGTAGTATTATTCCAGTGTAGACCGCTATAGGGTTTTGACAAGAGAATGATTACTGCTAAATACCTATTTTCGTTTTTGCACTTTTATCTTTTAACGTTTACTCAAATTGTGCCACCTTTTAAAAGCACTCTAGGGGCGCCTGGGTGGCGCAGTCGGTTAAGCGTCCGACTTCAGCCAGGTCACGATCTCGCACTCCGTGAGTTCGAGCCCCGCGTCAGGCTCTGGGCTGATGGCTCGGAGCCTGGAGCCTGTTTCCGATTCTGTGTCTCCCTCTCTCTCTGCCCCTCCCCCGTTCATGCTCTGTCTCTCTCTGTCCCAAAAATAAATAAACGTTGAAAAAAAAAATTTAAATTGATAAAAAAAAAAAAAAAAAAGCACTCTAATGTCTGCCTCTAAAGACTAGGGGCCAAATGTATATAGATGCTCGAGATTTTGAGATTGCAGGTTGTTTTCACTTTTTAGCATGCAATCCTTCCGTCTTTAATTGCAAAACTAATATACGTTTCGTGCCAAAACCTTGGCAGATACAGAAAAGCAGAAGGAGAAACAAAGCTAAAATCACCTGTAATTCTACCACTTTGACCTACTGGTTTATCTTTCTAGTATTTTTTCTAGTGCATTGTAACTTTTAAATGTTGTGCTGTGCTTAGACTTCCATTCATATGTGGTTGATTGGACCTACTTGCTTAGCTCAGCTCCTTCTCAAAACTCCACCAAAAAGGAAGTAAAGAGTTTTTGTTTTTTTTTATTTAAGATATAAAGTCAGTAGGATTGAAGGAGTGTAAGATGAGACAAAAGCGAAAAAGAAATTTTAGGAGCTAGAAAGCAGATGGGCAAGTCACATCTGTCTTAGCAGAAACTCTCAACAGGAAGGTAGTCCAGGACCTAGCACTACAGAGCAACAGGTTGAAGGATTGGAAGTGCCAGGTGCCCATGAAAGTGGGGGCATGCATGGACTGAAAACTGGGTTGATTGACAGTTTGTATAGGACATATTTCTATATCTCGGTCATCTTCCCCACTCTGTACAGTTAGACAAAGACTAGCTGGTGATTGATTGTCAGTAGCTATTCACTCAGAGAACACTAAGCATTGAAAAAGTAGAGGAGATGAGAATAAGTGAGAGTTTACATCCTCAGTAGTGAGACTTCTAGACTTCTACTAGACTCATAAAATGGTGACAACTAGGCTTACATACATACTCTGGGCTGAAGGTTGGAGGTTTTGTTTCTGGAGAAAGTGGCCAGTCCAAAACAAACAAACAAACAACCCTCCAGATGATAGTATTTGAGAATCTTCCCAAAGAACAGTGTGATCCTATCACAGAGAGGTGATAGTTAAGCATCTTATTGCTTTACCCCTAATTGTGAGCCAGGCTTTTGGAGAAAGTGTCTTAAGAAGAAAGAGAGTAAAAGAAGCAAATGAAAGTCAACAGAAAACTCAGCAACAAAATTATGACTCGTATTTTTGGTGTGATGAAAGGAGATAGCTCATGTGTGGAACACTGTGCCATAAAAAAGACTATTCAGCCAACAAGAAAGAACCCATGATATTAAAATGTTAGCAGAAACAAAAAATTCAGTAGAGGGTTAAAAGATTGAATTGGCAAAATCTACAAAGTAGAATGAAAAGGTAAAACAAAGGTAAGAAAAGACAAAATTAGTGGGTCATTCTAGAAGGACCAGAATAGATTATAGATAAATAGAACAAAGAAGGAATAGCAAAACAATAACTCAAGAAAATTTCCCAAACTCAAATAACATGAGTTTTCAGATTAAAAAAGACCTATCGGCCTTCCCTCTATAATGAATATTAAAAGATCCATGCAAAGGCCTATCATCATGAAATTTTATTTTTTTTATTTTAGAGAGAGAGAGCATGTGGGCAGAATGGAGGGACGGTGGGGGAGGGAAGAGAGAGATAATCTTAAGCAGGTTCCATGCTCAGTGCAGAGCCCAACACATGTCTCGATCCCATGACCCCAGGATCATGACCTGAGCCAAAATCGAGTCAGATGCTCAACCAACTGAGCCACCCAGGCGCTCCTGAAACTTTAAGTACGTAAGGATAAAGAGAAGATCCTAAAAACTTCCAAAGTTGGGGAGGGGAGGAGAGACAGGAATTAAATCCAAAGCATCAAAATTAGAAATGGTATTGTCTTCCTAGAAATAACACCGAAGTTAAAAGGTCTGGGAACATGCCTTTGTAATTCTGAGAGAACATGATTTCTGTCATAGAATTTTCTGTCTAATCAAACCATAAATCAAATGTACAGTAAAAAATTTATTTCTAGACCTACAGTTTCCAGAAATATATCTCTTGTACCTTTTCCCAGGAAGCTCCCGGGAGCTTCCTGGGAGGGTCTTCACCACCAAAATGAAAGAAAAAACTAAGAAGATACGGTATTCAGAATATAGAGAGGATCTAACAACACAGGAAAGAGGAAAAGGGAAGTCCTAGGCCTCCAGCTGTGAGGCAGGGCTGAGAGCATCTACAGAGCGGTGGAGGATATAGAAAGTCTGTCAGTGGGGCGCCAGGGTGGATCAGTTGGTTGAGTGACGTCAGACTTTTGATTTTGGCTCAGGACATGACCCTGGGGTCATGGGATTGAGCCCTGCATTGGGCTCCAAGCTAGATGTGGAGCCTGCTTGGGATATATTCATTCTCTCTCTCTCTCTCTCTCTCTCTCTCTCTCTCTCTCTCTCTCTCTCTCCCTCCCTCCCCCTCCCTCCCTCCCTCCCTCTCCCCTTCTCCCTCTGCCCCTCTCCCCCAGTTGTGTGTGTGTGCTCTCTCTCCAAAACAAAACAAAAGTGTCTTAGGAAAAAATGAAAGTGATAGAAAATTTGATGTTTTGAGAAAAAATTTAAATTCTTGGGAGAATGTGGAGATGAAGTAGTGATAGTGAATGATACGGATATATGAGATAGTTATTAACTCTGAAAGAAAAGGTTAGTTGCGTAGTAACAAAATGTAATTATGGTTTACTAAACACTCTGGTATGTCTGATTCACCTAGTTACAGTAATTTAAGTACCGAATATAAACTTAATCAAATGGTGGAGGAGAAAGTATGAATGGAGGATGTAATTTTTAAGATCCAAATTCTCACCCACAGTAGAGGGTGTTAATGGTTTTTTTTTCTTTAGGTTTATAAAAACATAATAAGGTAATCAAAAAATGCCAAAAAGAATGCATTGAAAGTGTAACTGTAGTGGAGAATCCTGATAAACACTACCTCAGTCGGGTGATCAAGATTAACATCAGTGAAAAGTCCTGCCGATAGAACGTGCCCTGATGTGATGTGATGAGAATGGTACTTTAGCTCTGTGGTCTTCCTCTCCAAACTTCCCAAAATCTATAATCCCAGTGTAATTGAGCATTTTGCGAAATATCTGATCAGTGTTCCTTAAAACTGTGAAGATCATCAAAAACAAGGAAACTTTGAGAAACTGTTACAGTCTACGGGAAAAATTGTGCATAATGTAAATGTAGTAGCTTAGAGGAGATTCTGGGACTAGAAAAGGACATTAGTTAAAAACTAAGGATATCGCAATAAAGTATGGGCTTCCAGTTGATTATAAAGTATCAGTATTGGTTCCTTAGTTGTAACAAACGTGCTGTCCTATTGTGAGATGTTAATAATAGGGGAAACCGGGTATGGGATATATAGGAAGTCTGTAGCATCTTTGCATTTTTTTTTTTTTTTCAGTAAATCTGGAGCAGTTTTTTGTTCGTTTGTTTCAAGTTTTTATTTAAATTGTGATTAACGTAGTATAATATTAGTTTCAGGAATAGAAGTTAGTGATCCATCAGTTGCTCATTACAACAAAAATACCCATCACCCATTTATCCCATCATCCTGCCTACCTTCTCTCCAGCAACCCTCTGAAACTTAAACAGTTTATTTAAAAACAAGGGGAATGCTTGTAAAAATAGAGGCAAGTATTGGAAAACAGCTAAGAGTTGAAAGTTGTAGCCAGTGGAAATTGGGAAAGTGGGACAGGGAACTTCTCATGGTAAACCTTGTAGAACCATGTTCGACCAATAAAAATGTATGGAGTGTGATTTTGATTAAAATAACTTAAGTCTAATGTAATGCACAGATTTATAAAAATGAGAATTGTGAATTTGGAACACTTTTCTATAATTTAGGTAGGTGGGTGATTTACATAAGCCTCAGCTTGATTCTGGAAACACTATTGTATGTATGGCATTGGCTGATGTAAGTAATTCATCACCTTTGGTTTTCCATGTGTGGTCAGGATGTAACAACAGATTCGTTGGTCCTGTATAGTTATGTTGATGCTAGATTGCCATTTTGGCACTCATAGTGTATGTCTTGGGCCAAGTTACACAGGTAATATTAGATAAAAAGTCATAAAGAGGAAATCTGTATTTTCACAAAAGAAGGATATAAATGGATTGTTTATTGGGTGTCTTATTTCTTCTTAACAGATACTGGGTCGTCAAGATGGAGTCCTGCAAGACTGGGTCATTGATGACTGCATTGGTAACTGGTGGAGACCAAATTTTGAACCTCCTCAGGTCAGTGCTCATTTATATTTGCTGGGCATTTGGGTAAGTAGAAAACGAATTTAATTCTAGCCATTTGAAAAGAGTGTAGTAGAATTTGACTTGAAATTTTCTTTTCTCTCTCCTTAATTTAGATAAAAAATGAAAAAGCCAAGCATTTGTTCTTTTAAAGGAAAATTTCAAACATACAAAAGTAGAAGGAATAGTGAAAATACATGAATCCCATTACCTGTCATCCACAGGTTAACAGTTAGCAACTCATGGTCAGACTTCACCTGCAACCCCATTTCCCCTGCCCTCACCTTGGATTATTTTGGAGCAAATCCTAGGTATCATTTGGAATGTAAATATTTCAGTATGTATTTCTAAAACACAAGGGTCTTTTTAAAAACACGACCACAGGGGCGCCTGGGTGGCGCAGTCGGTTAGGCGTCCGACTTCAGCCAGGTCACGATCTCGCGGTCCGTGAGTTCGAGCCCCGCGTCGGGCTCTGGGCTGATGGCTCAGAGCCTGGAGCCTGTTTCTGATTCTGTGTCTCCCTCTCTCTCTGCCCCTCCCCCGTTCATGCTCTGTCTCTCTCTGTCCCAAAAAAATAAATAAACGTTAAAAAAAAAAATTAAAAAAAAAAAAAAAACATGACCACAATACACATTCTCACATTAATAAATTATTCCATGAGCTCATTAAATATGTATATCCCTTGACTAGTTTCAAGTTTTATTTTTATTTTGTTTTCTAATTTGTTTAAATTAGGATAGTCTCGTAAATCTCTTTTGGCTGGTTGGTTTCCTATTTCTTTTTTTCCTTGTAATTTATTTGTTAATGAAAGCAAGCTATTTAAAGTCTTTTGTGTTTCCATTGCTGGTTGCATCTGCCTGTTGTCATTGAACATGTAGCTCTTTGGCTTCTGTCCTATAAAACTGGTAGTTAGATCAAGAGGCTGGATTTGGCTAATGAGGGAGTGCAAGGCTTACTTACCATAGGCAGTATATTGTTTATTGCTGCATAATAAATGATCCCCAAACTTAGCAGCTTAAAACAGCAAACATTTGTTATCTTCATTTCTCAGGATCAGGCATCTGGGAGCTGCTTAGCTGTGTAGTTCTGGCTCATGGTCTCATGAAGTTATGGTCAGGTTGTCAGTGGGATTGCATCCCCTCCAGGCTGGACTCAGGCTGAAGGATCTAATCCCAGGTTCACACATGTGTTTGTCAGCGGGCCTCTCCTCCTGGACTGTTGGACTGAAGGCTTCAGTTCCTTGTTGGGTGTTGACCCGAGGCCTCTCTCTGTTACCGTGAAGCGTCTCCACGGTGTAACTCCCAGTAAGGCAGCGGGCTTCCACTAGAGCTTGAGATCCGATATAGAGATAGTGACAGAGTGCTCAAGGAGGAAGTTGTGGTCTATTATAACCTAATCTTGACAGTGTCATACCATCACTTACTTCTGTACGCTATTGGTTGCACAAGCCAACATGGTACGTTGTAGGAGGGCACTGCACAAAGGTGTGGATACCTGGAGACCGTGGGGGTCATCTTGGAGGATGGCTGCCACCGATGGTATCGTGCACTTCCATCAGAAGTTTTTTAATGTCTGGTTGTCTCTTTCTGTAATGTTAGTGGCTCATTGATCATAGTTTTTTGGGTTTCATTACGGTTGTGATAGTTTTAAGGAAAACTTCTCTCATCAACTATTTGGTTACCGTGAGGTATAGTTTGTATAGGAAAGAATAGATGCGTCTTTTCATAAGAATGAATGAATTTATTAGTATCCTCCAAAGATGTTATTCAAGAGAAAGAAGAAGACAAAGACTTGGGTACAGACATTTTGTTTGGGAAGTGATCCCAGAAAGCAATAGACTGATAGGAGAGGGCAACCAGAAACAGCAATAGTCAAAAAAAGAAGGGCACATAATTGATTTTATTATAACTGTGGGCAACTGGATCCTGCTGAGGACTGTGAGGAACCATGTGGAATGTACCAAATTGTTCCATCAGAAGGATGGAAGACTGGAGATTCATACCCCATTGGATAGGGGTTAAATTAACTCCCTTGCACTTTCATGTTGAGTCTGAGCATTGGTTGATTTTTGGGGGCTTTGGAAATGCTTTGAGGCTGAAAAACAGAGACTGAGACAGTGGCAGCAAGCTGAGAGCTTTCTAGCACTTCCCAACAAAGCTGCCCTGAAATCTGAAGTGGGATGGGATCTGAGGTGGGTGATGAGGGGCACAAAAAGTGTGTTTCATTGACCTTTTAAAGTGTCATATGACCTCATGGATTTAAATACATTTGTTGTGTTTTAATCCATTGTAATGATTGATGATGGTACTGATGTCCAAGTTTTCTCACCTTTAACTGATGAGAGCCTCTGATCCTGAATCCTATAGACAAGGTTCTATGACTTGGATACCTTCTTTGCATTATGTGGTGTTCCAGGTTAAGAATCATACGAAATATCAACCAAGTAAAGATTAGATTATTATGTCTGTCCTCTTCCTTCTGACTCTCTAGTATAGCTGAAGGATAGGAAGATAAGGTGCTGTGGAAGCTGGTGCTAGTACTCACTCCCTGAGGATTGTCCTGGCCTTAAGAAAGTATCCGCTATCTGGAAATAGTGAAGTTCTGGTCCAAAGATACATGAAACAATTATTTTAAACTTTTTATGGTTTCTTGAACATTCTTTGATCGAACTGGAAGCTCAGTAATAAGTTTTCCAGGCTACTTTCTAAATGCCCTCATCTCCCCTACCGAAGGGCTAGGACAGTTACTTTAATTCACTGAAACCTAGGGTTGGCTCTGCTAGCATGAGGTGTAACGCAGGTGTTGTGTGTAGGTGTTACGTGTTTATTTAATACACTTGGGGTAGTGGTTAGGTGTCAGTGGGAAAAGAGCATGACACCGTCTCCCTGTCTTTTTGTATAAAGTGCCCTTGGCTTAAAATAAACACCAAGAGGAAGACTGGAGAAGAAAGGCTTAAAAGAAAAGGAACATGTAGCCATAAGTAGAAGAAAATTGGGGTAATTAATGCCAGTCACTTTGGTTTGGTCATGGTGTGGGAGCTTCTGTTTTATGTGAACCACAGGTCTCCCATAGCCTGTGCTATTCAAACTACTACTTACCTTTTTGTTTGTTACTGCCAGTGCCTGGTTTTCATGATCATGTAGGGTGCCTCCAAAGCCTGGGATGGTTGTCTTCGTTTATCATACTTTAGGGATGGCTGCGCTGTGTAATTATTCTGACTGGAATACTGAGATAATCCAGTGAGGGGTAGCATAGTGGGAAGTAACAGGCTTTTATAGTGTGATGATGGTTGAATAGATGAGGTTGAATCCTGATGTCACTACTTATTTGTGTAATCTTGGGAAAGACCTTTAGCTTCTCAGTGTAAGTTCTTACATTAAATGTGGGGGATATTACCTTCTTTTGGCTGCCTCTGTTTTATCCTACTCTCCCCTTATATCTATTTTCAGCATTTTTCAATTGCCCTGCCCTCAAATACAACTCCCAAAGCCAAAGTAGATTTTTCTGAATGTATTATGGGGAGGTGCAGGAGAGATCTGTATCCCAGACTTTTAAACTTTGCTCTGTCAAAATTCTTTCTGAGGTTGTAGCCTCCCCTGTCTAATTTTCTTTAGAATCTCTTAAGTTCTCCAAAATATTTTCTGCATTTTCACAAGCAACTTGATTCTCTCCAGCTGATAGGACTCCCCTTCCACTGCTCGTCTGGTGTTCCTGAAGCGTGCATCCGGTGTGTGTGTGGCATCATTGGGGGAGGAGCATCTTGTCAAATACCTCACGGGCCATATTTAAACTTTTAATATAGCAAATGTGTCCATATCAGAATTCTAGAAAATTGAACTTAGTGAATTTTTTTTTTAAAACAACTTTTATTAGAACAGTACTTAATGTCAGACTTCATTGGGTTGTAAATTTCTCAAGCTGTCAGTCCTACGACTGCATATTTAATTGACTTGAATGGTTTTCTACTTATTACGTTGTGTTTATTAAGCATTTGTCTATTAGAACATCTGTTAGGTACTAGGTTTTGGTCAAGGCCAGACTAGAAGGGGTTCTAGTTCTCCCAACAGTATACATTGTATTGGGAAATAAACATATAAAGAAATAATTGAAACCACAGGATACATGTTAAGTAAAATTGTGTTGGCATTATGAGAACTTAGTCTCTAAAGGTTGATATTTGATCGTAAGGTATGAAATGGAAGAAGTTGATAAATAAAGGTATGGAGTTGATTAAGGGATGTCTTGGCAAATACAAATTCTTCTCTTTTGCTATTTTAGTATCCGTATATTCCTGCACATATTACAAAGCCTAAGGAACATAAGAAGTTATTTTTGGTTCAACTTCAAGAGAAAGGTAAGTTAGTTTGTTTTCGAAAGCACCCACCTAAAAACTTTTGTAGAGTAATTTCAAGAATACTTCTATTGGTGTTTTCTCCACGTTCCTTAAAATTTTGGATTTATTCTGAAAATAAAAGCACATACTATGTTTGTACAGAATTCACTAGTTTTTCTTATAGGTGTGCCAGTCATGCTATAGGGGGGAAAGTAAATTTAACTAGAGCATAAAATGCCATTTGGTGGCATTTTGAAATAACTCTATTGATAAATTGTAACAAACTGAAAATTTTAGATGATAGATGAACTGATTTTTTTAATACCATATTTAGATCTGTTGTACAGTTTAACAAATAATTATTCCATGTCTTAAAAATGGAATTAATAAATTATAAACCCGAGGCTCTGCTCTTCTCCTTGTTCCCAGGGCCAGCACTTCTAAGATGCTCTTACTTGTTAGCAACATGAACTATGAACTTTGCCCAGAAGATACAACCAAAAAATGTGTTAATGAGAATTACCTTTTTCCTCAAAAGTTTCTCAAATGTAAAACCAGTGAGTGATGAATTTATGAATGAAGTAGAAGCAGTGATTGTATAAGAATTTACAGAAAATGAATACTGTTTTATTTTATTTTAGCCTTGTTTGCAGTCCCTAAAAATTACAAGCTTGTAGCTGCACCATTGTTTGAATTATATGACAATGCACCAGGATATGGACCCATCATTTCCAGTCTCCCTCAGCTTCTGAGCAGGTATAGAAAGTTGAACATTCTGTGGCTGATTAGTCTGAATTGCCAGATTTAAAATATTCTGAGCTGGTTGAGAAGGGGTAATTATGAATTTTGGTTTTTAAGGAAACTAACACGTAGATGGATTCATAGTTAATGTACAAGCCATAGAGTAAATATGACTGACTAAAAAGTGTCCCCAGACTCCTCAAGTTGCAGCATGACATTCTTGTAAATACCAGAAGTGTACCAGCGGTGCTCTTCCCCAAATCTGATTTATTTTTTTTTTACTGTTAAGATTGAAGTCTTCATTCAAAGAAGAGATGGTAAAATGGTAGTCAGCAGTGTATAATAAAAACCAGGGAAATTATCTGTATAAAAATGTGGAGAATTGAATCTCTTGGTGTAGTATGTTCTCTATCGTCTTCAAAACCTGCTATAGTTAGGCCTATTGGGTATGTGGGATTAAGTCTTGAATTTTGACATACGTGGAGGTTTTTTGTGTTTCTTTTGGCAGGTAGAGTGATAAGTGCATTAAAAAAAAAAGTTGGCTTGTACTGTTTGAGGAGCCTTCTATGGACAGGGATCGCAGAACAATGTGGTAGCTAAGAATATAGATTCTGAGGGCAGAGTTTGGATTTGAATTCTACCTTTAATAACTTCCTGGCAGTGTGACCTTGGACAAACTCTACTGTTTGCTTGTTTCTTCACCTGTAAATCAGGGTGGTAGTCCCCACTTCATAGAATTGTGAGGAGTGAGTAAAATGATGCATCTGAAGTGCTTAACAATAGTGCCAGGCGCCTGGCAAATGCTGACATAAATATTAGTTCAAAAACATTTCCAGTAGTGATTTTGGCTTTCTGTGAAACCTTGTTGATTAGGAAATTGGTCTTTCTATTTTGTTACATGAATCAAACTTTATCTTTTGCTCCTCTTGGTCTAATGATGGGTTAAAAGTTGAAGTATGACATATGAAAAAGAGCCCTAACATCACTTATCAGGTATCGGGAACTGTGCTGAATGGCAGAGTACCGTGAGGTATAAAAATTTTCCTTCCCACGAGGAACTTGTTAGTGGATAATTAATCAAATGTACACTCTTAAATTTTCTTTTTAGTTGTAAGTATTTAACAACACTTATTTAATGTGTAAGACCAGACAGGTGAGAGAAAAAGTATGTCTCTGTATAGAAAATGCCAATAATGTCAAAGGAGGGCAGAAATGTTCACATTTCTTTATCATCATCTAAGGTAAAAAACTTTGTAAATTATGCTGTTTTTAATAAAGATATTGTTCTTTCTAAAATTCAGGTTCAATTTTATATACAACTGAATTCCTGCACAGTGGAGAAGTAAAAGAAGCCGTCTCTGTGAGCACAGCTATAACACATTGTAGAATAAACATGGTAGACAAGGTTTTTTTTGGTTTTGTTTTGTTTTGTTTTTTATCTCTTCCCCAATCCCTAAATTGCTACCTACTTCCTGTTTGAATAGTAAAGTTAATACGAAGAACTAGATAGTGGTGTACACAAATGTGATAAAGTTTAATTTACTTTTGGTTCTACTCCTACTTTTTGTACAACATTAAAGAGTATGGACTTCTTTCTATTTGTATTTTTGTTTTTCACATTAAACTTGGAAAATTCTTACAGGTGAGGACTGGTTTTTTTCCCCCCTCGTAGGCTGATGAATATTTAAAGACAATGGCAGATTTAGGTCAGTCGAGTTTATGGGACCCTTGTTCTGAGGTCATAGTTGGGGTATACTCCAAGACTGTGTTCTAGATTTTTGTGACGAGGAACCTATGTTATTTTTGGGAACTAGATTTGCTTGATGGATCCCAAGGTGTAACTCCTGAAACAAAGCACTCTGAATTGTACTACAGCAGAGCTCCCAGTATATTACTGACTTGTACATTTTATACTGATAGGTTCAGACCTTTGTTCGCAAGCAACAGACCTTAAACATATGAGGAGTCATTAAAATTGGCTAGCTTAGGGAAACTTGTGGGAATTGGTATAAAAAGAGACCCATTGAGAGCTGATTGAGATGTTTTTCCTTCACATAATGGAGGTATTAATTATTTGTGTTGTGACATTCTTAGTCATGGTAAAATAGTGGTCTGTAAAGGAAGTTTCTAAAAGTGGGTCTGTTAGGTTTTGAGCTCTTTGGATTGCAAAGTTAGTCATTTCAGTTTATATCCATAGAAACGAAAATTTGGTTTTAGCAAGTGACATAAGCCTTTTCAAAAATATTTTGGAATAATTTGAATCAACTGAAATATAAGAACAGGATAGGGGATAGATTTTATCAGCCTAAGAGAAAAATACCAAATTTTAAAAGCTCTTTAAAATAACACTACTAAATTAGGATCAAATTTGGGGGAATAAAAAAAGACTCCTAGGGCAAAGGAGTTTGTTGGCTGTGTCATAGCTTAATGGCCAAAGTATTTTGTGTATATGCCTTGTAGCACACTTGTTGATGGTAGGTCTGGTGAAAAGGAAATCTTGTAAGATGCAACTACTTAAGACAGATTGCTATAGTTTTTAATAGATAAACAGAAATGAACTATTGATTAATTCTTATATCTTTATGGTAGTGATCACAGGCTTTTTCTCCTGAACATAGGGTGATTTGAAAGGTACATTGCATACTCTTCCCTATTGAGACTTGAAAAAATTAGACCAAGAGCAATTATATTAGTAAAGGTTCAATTTTATTTAGTTGAGGTCCCATCAAACCATCACAAGGTTATGTGTCAAGTAGTGATTGTGACCATGCTCATGCTTTGTAGTAGGTGAGCACCACCAGGCTTTAGGACCAAAAATGAGTAGTGATTTTTTTGTTTGTTTGTTTTTTTGAAAAAGCCACTAATTCTGTGGATAGTCATCTCCCTCAAGGGCTAACAGTCCCACTCCTCTGGTTTACATTAATATGTTTATAACTTACTATAATTTTCCTGGTGAGCTCACTGATTCGCTGAGCCCTGTCAAGATTGGGTAAGGCAAAGATGGAGACAGCTTAATCCAGTCCACCTTCTTGGTTGCTTCTGGCATCCAAGTGAAAGGCTACAGTAACCACATTTCAGATGTGCTAGGCTAGTATTTGTCATTTGGGGATGGTGGAAGGAGGTGGGTTCGTGTGGTTTATAAAATGCTGTATAAGTTGAAGAGATCTAATATGAAGGTTCTCATGTCCTTTGTAACATAGGCTTTGACCTAGAAATTCTTGATCACTACTTCACAGTGTTAAGTACTTGAGTCCATCATTTATATGTTGGGGCCGAGGTAAGAAACACCTTTGATTTCAGCTGTCTGGGTTACTAACCTTAGAATGTAAAAAGATCTGGTTTGGGATGTAAAACTGACAACACACAAACACAAATGTTTTAAACTGTCTTTGAACTGGTCAGTTACGGTTGTATCTCAATACTCTGGTGTTTTAGGTTTCCTAATGGAAATAGTAGAACTAGGAAATTCAAATCTGATGTATTCCTACACATTAGAAGAGGGTACATGGGCATTGCTTAACGCTAAGCTCTTTTAATGTAAGTTCTTAACACACCTCTGCAAAAACTAACAGTCTTAAAATTGTGCATTCTGATTCTCTACATATTAAATACGGAATAATTTTAAAATGAGCTCTTGAACCGATTTTGTATTTTTGAATGCCTTCTATGTTTCAGGTTTGTTTATAGATGAGAGTCCTCTTTTGCATTGTAGGAGTACAATATATGTCGTGTTATTTTTTCAGAGTAATCCAAGTAGTGCATATTGTATATAAATCTGCTAAATGGCACTGGAAAATATTCAATAGCTTGGAGGAAAAACTAGAAGTTTTACTCAGATGTTTTCAGTCATATTTAGAATTGACATCCCTTTGAAGAAAAGTGAAATTTTTTTAAGTGATGAAGACTATTGTGGTTTTTTAATAAGTAGGTAATACTTAAAATGGCATTATGATAATTCTCTTTATGAATTTGTACTTTATAACATGAGATCTGGAAGATTTTTTATTTTTTATCATCTTAGCTTATATGGTTCAGTTATTATTTTGTTTTTTCACGGGTTCCATTAAATTAGCATGTATTTAGATAAAACATAGTCAAATTCGCCAGTCTTTCTTCATGTTTAATTAGAAGAGAGGTAGGTAGAGGTCCTCTAAATTCAACAGACCAGCAAGCATTAGCAGCTTAAAAATTCTCCTTCTTAAATGATGTGACTCTTATGCTTGCGGTTGTTAATGACTTTATTTTTGAGTACTTGCTCAGTCGCTTGAGGTGAAATGCCTAGATTAGCTTTTTCCACGTTGGAGTTTCTCAAACTTAATGTTTTTACTGGTTCATAGTGTTCAGGACAGTACCTCCTGGTCACTACGACTATTTGAGACAGTGTGCAGTTTTGTATGCAGCTTCGCCAGAGAAGCTTTAGTGGGTTTTCATTGTACTACAAGTCTGCTTCCCTAGCAAAAGTTTGATTTCCTATAATTGTTCCACTTGCTTTGCATCACTTATTATTGGGGTTAAACTGACTCATTTGAAGTAGTTTGCCTTTGTTGTTTAGATAGATGATGAAAAACAATACTATAATTTGAGCCATAGGAGACATTCTAATATTAGCTCCTATTTATCAAGCTTGTTTTTGTGAAAACAAAACAAAAAAATGGACTAAAACCTAAGTGAGTCTAGATGTAGCCAGTTTAGGTGTAATTTGTATTTTAGTGATAGATTGTACATAGAACTAGACAAAAATGGGGGAAATGTATTACGTTCTCTGTTGAGGGAGAGATCAGTGCACTTAAACACTTAAAAACTTTTGGTTATTGTGTTTACATCATAGTGTACAAGCATTGTTTATGGTTTGGCTTTGAGAATTTTTATGGCATTACACTTACAGAAAATGTATAAAAGAAACTGTTCGAAGTTTTGGTTATATTTTTATATTTGTAAAGTAAAAGTTGGATTAAAATGGTCACTGTTCTTTTTAAATTTTATTTTATTGTCATTTCAATTAAAAAAATAAAACAATGACTCTGTGTGTGGCTACTAACCTTAGTTTGCAATTAGAAATCCTGCATGCTTCTTTTTCAGTGTCCTTGGCTGGGGGCCATTAGGTAAGAGACAACTTGGCAGAATAGCAAGCGCCTGAAGAACTGGGACATTGATATTGCTCTCTCCTGGCACTCTTCCATTGTGTGTTAGCCGTGGTCTTAGGCAAATCTAGTTTCCTGCATTGTGAAGGGGGACACTGGATTTAGAACCTGAACCCTGGGATTTAGAAGTTGTCCCATAATTTTGTTAAGTGTGTTGTTGTATTGTTGGCGACTCAGTTTTCTCACCTATAAAGAGAGTGTTGGTTCCGTTAAGTCTTTTTTTCAGACACCAGGCTTTCTGCTTCTGTAATACTGTGTAATGTAATTTCAGCATCTTAAATAGCAACAGCGTGCCCAAAGGATGGGAACAGGTGTGTAATAAAACCACAGCCGTAAGATTTTATATCTGAACAAAAGTTGAATAAAACCTGATAAAGTTACTGTAAGACTCTTCTGAAAATTTTACTGCTTGTGTATTTTATGGCAGGTACCAAAAAGCTGTGAAAAATTATGAAAGAAAAGCCCCAAATTGAAATATGTCCATTAACTTCTTAACCTACAACTTGAGTTGGTTATTTTTCTCCCTCTGCTAGATTTAGTAGAGGGACACATTGGTCTCGCTAATGAAACACCAGAATTCTGTGGGAGTATACTTAAAGCTACTGGATTAGATAATGAAATTCAGTTTCTAGGATGTTGAGAATCTTCAACAACAACAAAACTACTCAGCCTTTCTCACAGTACAGTGAAATCAAATGAAGTCACGAATGTGAAAGGATTTCAGATATTTAAAAAGAGTAAATACCAATAATGTATCTAGGTGTGAATCTTAATTCACACAAACTCTGGTTTGTCTGAAGTGATACTTTTAAAAAAATTTCTTTTGGGGCGCCTGGGTGGCGCAGTCGGTTAAGCGTCCGACTTCAGCCAGGTCACGATCTCGCGGTCCGTGAGTTCGAGCCCCGCGTCGGGCTCTGGGCTGATGGCTCGGAGCCTGGAGCCTGTTTCCGATTCTGTGTCTCCCTCTCTCTCTGCCCCTCCCCCGTTCATGCTCTGTCTCTCTCTGTCCCAAAAATAAATAAAAAAACGTTGAAAAAAAATTTAATAAAAAATTTTCTTTTAACTCAAGCTAAATCACAGTTACCATCTTATGAAGAAGGCAGAAAATTCAGTCTTTTAGTCATTATTGGGAGACTTTGGGGCCCAAAGTCTCAGAAGAATCCAGAAAGCATAAATGGTACTCTGAAATGAGGGTGGGGGTGCAGAGAGCTCTAGATTCCCTCATGGACTCTAAAGATACTTTTGTCTAAGCTGGACCAGCTCTTTAAGGTCTGGTGTGGTTGACTTCCTGCCACATGCGGGCCTGAGGACTTAACTGATAAAGGTAGTCCCTGTACCTATGTTCAGTCTTGCTGGGCACACTAAGTATTTATTGTTCTGTGTTTTGCCTTCTCCCCTGGTCCTCTCGGGGAGTAGGAGACAATGCAAAGAAC